GGACGATATCCAATATTACGGGATAGAGATCATGCTATCCAGTCTTTGAAACGGGTTATTTCCGGTCGGTTTAAGCCTATCATGTCGAGCAGCTCGCGGAGAAACGGCTGGGGAATTCCGAGATCCAGCGCCTCGGAACCGAATTGAGGCTCGGTTTGGGTTTAGTTTGGTTCGGCCAGTCGTGTCAGGCCATGCTGATGTGGCTCAGCTTCGGATGTTCCGTTGTAGTATAGAAGATGCTTTTGGTAAATGATAGCAACGGGACTGGAACTAGGGTATATAAGGGTCTTTTTGTTACACGGCGTTTTACTTTATTTGTTCATCATCACACAAAGATTTATTGAATACTTCGATATATTATCTCAACACCACAGACTCAAGACTAGTATCTACTACTCAGTCTATACTTCACACACACAACATCACAACACAACCAACCCGTTCAATTCAAACGAACATCAAAATGACAACCCCCTCCAAGTCCCCCACCACTTCCGAGCACGCCCGTCTTCAAAACGATTTCGGCGCTGACTACTGGGTTCGCTCTGCGCAAGAACACCGCGTGAGTACATCACTTATACCTCATCTTATCACGCCACATCTGTACAGTATACTAACATAAGTACAGCGCGCAACTGCAGGTCGTGGCCTTTTCGCTGGTCTTCAGGATACTAAGCGCTACAACGTCGAGTCTGGATGGGCTAGACGTAAGTCAACGGATTCGCAGACTGGATTCCTTGGTTCGATTTGGGGCCGGTGAGTTTTTACTTCTTTTACTGGTATTTATTGGATTCAGCTGACTCTTTCTAGGCTTACTGGTACTTCGCCCTGAATGTACGATGCTTGTTGAGTTCTTTTCTTTTATATATTCTATTTGATTGCCTTATTGGCATTGGAGCTGGTATTATTGGAGTTTGATTGGTCATGTTGAATTTATGCTTGCAACTCGTCAATTTCTATCTTTGTTTATCTTAGATATATCTTGGTTCATTTTGCCCAAAAAGGATCACAGATTATCTTAACCGAATTTATCCCTTTATTCAAGGCCAAGGCCCTCAATTGTACCTAGACGATCTTGTTTAGTAGATTTCAATGGTCCTTCAATGGTCTGATAAATCTCAATCTAGTAACTGTATCAGATAAACTCAACCTGGTCTGTACATCCTCTTCAGCTAGGCGATTTCCAATATCCTTCAAAGCACCCACCAATAGCTGTCCGTGACACTGTCCCCAATATCCAAAACAAGATTCAACGAAAGCTTCCCATAAGCCCATCGCACCTGAAAAGGGAGGTCAAAGAGAGCTTTATCGTCTCTTAATTCCGGAGCACGCCACTCATAAGTCATTCCCTTGCAACTGATGGCATTTTCCATTCCCGTCAACAACAGCAACAACATTAGAAGACTTAATATCCATATGTGTGTTCTCTGCAATATGAAAGGAATGCAAAGCGGTTCCAATCTGCAAAGCCCATGATTTCCAAGGAACATCTTGCGTAAAGTATATACGCTTATCAAAAATGTGCTTCCCGACATCAATCAAGACCATGTTTGTTACACAACATGATGAAAAAGCTCAGTGGTCGGTCGATCTAGGAGATCGGGATGGTAGATCATCACACCTAATGCCAACATTATCCCTACCAGTTTCTTCAATCTTCAACTTCTTCTGGATTATTAAAAAACAAGTCTATCTACAATTCCATTTACGAAGAAACAAGAATAAATAGAAATAGACATAATTCCTCAAACCGCTAATGATATATACAAAACACCCGACACCAGAACCACGGCCTGTAATAGCCATTTTACATAAATTTGTAATAAAACAGAGCGCCAAGCACTCTACACCACTTACTCCCAGGAATCAATCTTCATAGTACCCTTCTCCTGCAAGTTCTTATGCATCTTGAAAGCCTCAAACAGCAAATGCGGCTCATGACCCATACCCTTACGCAGACACTCGAACTCAGCGCGGTCAAGGTAATCCGTAAGGATAGGCTTGTAATCAGGGTGAGAGCACTTGTTAATAATAACACGGGCACGTTCACGGGGAGAAAGACCACGGACATCAGCGAGACCCTGCTCGGTAACGATAACGTCCAGATCATGCTCCGTCTGATCGACGTGGGTAGCGAAAGGCACGATACAACTAACACCAGTAGGATCGATCTTGCTAGGGCGGGTACTTGGTGTGTGCATGATACTGTACTTGGAGTTACGCAGGAAATCGGCGGAACCACCGAGACCGTTCAGCATGCGCGAGCCCATGACACAAGTGCTGTTGGCGTGGGCGTAGATGTCGACTTCGACGGGGGTGTTCATGCCAATGCAGCCGAGACGGCGGATGATTTCAGGCGAGTTCGAGACCTGCTGGGAGCGGAGGAGGAGCTTGCCAGCGTATTTTTCCCAGTTATCGTAGAAACGCTTGAAGCCGTCTGGTGAGAAGCGGATGGAAGTGGCGGTTGCGAAGTCGAGGTTTCCGCTGTCGAAGAGGTCCAGGAAGGAATCCTGCAGGACTTCTGTCCACACTTTCAGGTTCTTGAAGTCTGCGCCGCCCTTGCTTAGGCCGCCGACTACTGCGTTGGCGATGTTGCCGATGCCGGATTGGATGGGGAGGAGGTTTTTGGGCAGGCGGCCGTGGTTGACTTCGTGCTTGAGGAACTCGATGATGTTGGAGGCGATTGCCTGCGAGGCTTCGTCTTCTGGAGCGTTGGGCTGGGTCTGGTCTGGGTAGTTGGACTCTACAACCGCGACGACCTTCTCGGGGTCGATGGGAATGTAGGTTGTTCCGATGCGGTCCTCGGGAGCCATAATTAGGTATGGCTTGCGACCAGGAGGAAGGTCGGAGCCCACGATATCGTGGAGACCCTCAAAGGAGGGAGTGGCGGTGTTGACTTCGATGACGACCTTGTCGGCCATCTGGACAAGCTCGGGGGATGCGCCCACGGAAGCACCAGGAATGATACCGCCATTCTCCGTGATGGCCGAAGCCTCAATGACAGCCACGTCAATCTTGTTCTGCGGCTTGTTGAGGGTGTAGTAGCCCTGGAGTTAAGGTTAGCAGGTGGTTGTTTCGGCGGGTTCTCCCGAGACTCACATAGACCAAATCCGAGGGAAACATGCTCAGATGTTTGTCGAAGAACTTAATCTGCCCATTGTTGATTCCCTTGGCAATTTCTTTTCCGACTTGGTGCGGACTCCGCCGTTCAATCATGTCCAGGCGTGCCCAGCGGTTTTCCGTCTCCGCACCGGAGGAAGCTCCCACGAAGAGGTTATACTTCAGCTGTCCTTCCAATTTGTTCTTCTCGACGTGGTCTGCTAGAGCAGTTGGAACCATCCTGTGCAATTGTTAGAATTGAGTAAATTGGCTGAGAGTTGTGTAACGTACTTGGGATATCCAACGCCGGTGAATCCGGACCAGCCAATGTAGGAGCCATGGGGGAAGAGGTCAATGAGATCCTCTGCTTTACAGAGCTTCTTCAGATACGAAGGCCGACGCACACGACTCTTCAGGAGTGCAGAAGCAGCCATGGTGAGTATGGGGAGTATGGGGAATGGGGAGTGGAGAGTGGTCTAGAAGTTGAAGAGGGAGAGAAAGGAGGGAAAGGATAGATATATGTTTAACCCTGGCAATCCCCACAAGTACGGAGTACCGGGAGAATGGAAGGGGGACTTGATTTCCATGAGTTGTTTGTATTATATTCTTATTCTAGGCCCAGTTCCCACGGGATGTCTATATACTTCACGGGGAAGCTACGAACTATACCTTTCCGCTCAATAGCATCTACATTGCAACTATATGCATTAGCTGCCTCTCCTCCCATTCCCCTTTTTTTCTATGATGCCCAACTTCCCAAAACGTCGCACCCGATTCATGCTGACGTCAACTACGGCCTTTCTTCGGTGGTCGGGTTTCCCTCGGTCGCTTCGGACTTCAGCTCCGCAACCCACACAGCGCATCACTCCAACATAAAATGTGATAATAAAAGCGATTCTTGGTAATAACAAGGCAATTATTTATATCCCAAGCATCCAAAAACCACAAGAAAAGGCCCGAATTGAGGGAAGAAGACGATGTGCATAACCGCGTCCCGAGTTTCGCCCGACTCTCGTCTCGGGACTGTTTCGGTTAGCTGTTCGGCCACACGGAGCTCTGGTTTTGATAACCGACATTAACCCTGCCAAGGGGATAGACTCAAATTAGGCGAGAGTTATTGGGTCGATCTTTGATCTCCTGATCGACTTTAATTGTGGGGTGTTAAACCAACACCTGTTGCCAGGAAGATTCTTCATTATGTGGTGAGCTATCGCTATTTACCTGGTCATGTACACTAGACACGATGGTTATCTTGAAATACTTTAGGGTCGGATTGACTGTTATTGCCAGCTAAGCACACGATTTCGTCGACATGCACTGCACTTATTGAGTAAGAGATGATCGTCATATCGATAGTGTCCTGTATGCAATGCAATACCCATATCTTTGACCTTGTTTGTGCCCAAAATTATGGTACTTAAGAGGATAAGCAAGATTTGTTTACAGCGAATACCGTTGCAACTATTCATATCACTATCACCTTGCTGAATTTTCGATACAGACCTGGTGAAGGTCAGCCTTCAGAACAACACACTACATGTTAACCACAAGTCTACAAAGACAATAAATAAAGCAAAACTGAAAAAGTTAAAACAGCCCAGTCATCCAAGCTATTCCATTCCATTGAATAAGACAAAAAATCAACTAAAAAGGAAAAAAACACAAGAAAGAAAGATACAAATACAACATGAAGAAAAAAGCAAACCGTAGTAACATCATCTCGCAATTTCCTCATAGTAGACGCCACCCACACAGCAAATAAAATAAAATAAAATGCACACCAAGCCTCGCAAGGCGTAGACAAAAGGCACGAGCGGGGAAGACGAACGCATGAAAGGTGGAACACTGACACTAAAAACTGCAAAAGAACTGAAATTAAACCCCATCTTATGTTACACAATTTACGCCTCGGTTTCGGCTGAGGGTTCGGCGGGCTCGGCGTCTGTCATTTCCGTGTCGCCTTCTGCTTGGTTCTGGATTTGGGGGGCATCAGAGGTAGAAGTAGGAGCAGCAGCGGCGTCGACTTCGGCGGAACCAGTACCAGCACCAGAGCCAGCATCGGCGTTGCCGTTGGTGTTGGCACTGGCGTTGGCATTGGCAGTGGCATCAACAGCATCACCATTACCATCAGCCTTCTCCTTCTGAGGGACATCATCCTGGGCGGGGGCCTCAGGGCCAGAAGGACCCGGACTATCAGAAAGAGTTCCATTAATCCAAGAGCGGAAGCGCTGATTGGACTGATCGACATTATCCTTGCTGAGACCGCGAGCCCAAGAGGGGTTATTAATGAATTTCTCGACGAAGCGATCATGGCGTTTTTCACGGATAGCCGATCTCTCCTTCGCGACATCGTCCAGCTGGGTCTTGATGGCGTCGGCGTCGGCATCCTTGTCTGGGATGGGGGCATTGGAGCGCCAGAACCAATCGTAGCTTGGGGGCTGGTACAGCATTGTGTAGTTGTTTGCGCAGATGCGGATGATTAGGCCGTCGTGGTGCTGGAGGTTTCGGTAGTAGCGGTCGTACTCTTCGTCTTCTTCCAATTTTGCGGGGAGGTTGCGCTTCATGAAGGGCATACGCATTTTGGAGAATTGGACGCCTTCTGTTGGGTCGCGCATTGAGTAGGCGGTTACGTAGTAGGACCAGCGTTCTTCGGCGGTGAGGTCTTCGTTGTCCAGGGTTGCTTCTTCGCTGGTCATTACTTGGATTGTCACGCGGCGGTCGGTGGGGTGCTAGATGTTGTTAGTAGTTGGTTTTGTGGTGTGGGTGGGTGGACTTACGAAGGTAATGCGGTAAATATCGCCATCCTTGACCAGGCGCTCAACTTGCTTGCGGTACTGGATTTCTTGGTGATGGGTTGTCTCTTCCTTCTCGCGTTCCTTGAAGAACAGGTTGGCAATGTCTGAGCTGCGGTCCCGAGAATCGCCGGTGAAGATGGACGCCACGAACTTGGCGATGGAAGAGAAGATGCGCTCCAGGTTGTAGAGCAGGAATCCGCTCTGCATGTAGAAGCGACGAAGAGTCTCCTCCAGGTGAATCTGGTCAATGTCACCCTTGATGACCTCCTCGCACATGCGCACAATTTGCTTGTAAAGGTTGGCCTTGGGATCGACGTCGTAGAAGAAATCGCTGGGGAATCGGTCCATGAGGCACAGATCGTGGGCAGGCTTAGGCACAAGACCACGTCGGACTTGCTCACGGGCCTCGGGCTCCTGCTGCTTGATGCGCTGAAGACGCGAATAGAGGATCTCAAAGGTACGCAGGAAGCAGAGAATGTTGAGATTAGAGTACATGTGGTGCTCCTTCTTCTTGTGCTTCTCGTTCAAGGTGTATTCACGCTCGAGGTTGAAGTTGCCCTGGCCGGGATGCTCCATCCATCTGAGCTCAGCGACATCAAAGCTCTCCTCATTCTCAGAAACAGTAGAGGTAGCGCGAACGACAGGGGTTTCATCGTGGTTGTTTATACCATCTTCCTTGTTTGGCTTCTCAGTTCCGCGGTCAAGAGCCTCACGCAGTAGATCCAGCTTCTGCGTGTTCACCACCTTGCGGCTGCCATTTGAAACATCATCATTGGCATAGTCCTCGTCATCAACGATAGCGATGGAGATTTCATCAATGTACTGGTGGAATGTCTCACGGTCAAGACCGAAGAAGATAGGAATGAAGTCCTTGACAAAGTTGATGAGTCGTTGAGGCTCAGCACCAAAGCCATTGGTACTGCGGTCAAAGTACAAAAGCAGCAGGAAAACAGTGTCCAAGAGAACCTCCGTGTCTTCGAACTTGAACTCAGCCTGGTACTTGGGAGGAGTCCATCCGCTCTTACGAAGGGACTGAGCATCTTCAAACTTGGTTTGCAGATCTTGCTGGATGTTCTTGGCAACAAAGAGCTTCTTGTCAGTCTGCTTGGTGGCAATAGCCTGGTGATCAAGGCTGCGCCAGTATGCACGCTGCATCTGCTCACGCCATACCTTGTCCCACTCACGCTGGCAAGCCTTCCACTCCTCAAGTTTCTGCTTCAGGCGGTACAGGACAATGGGAAGAACGTGGCATGGACGTTGGAACATGTCTTGGATGACTTTCTCACCGCGCTGACGATCGTAAATCTTCTTGATAACCCGCTGGTAGATAGCCTCGCTTTGACCACCAAGACCTAGAGGCAGCTTGAACGAAGCCCGTTCCGCCTCATTCATGTGGAGGAACTGCTGGCATATCGGCTCGATCAACTGGATGGTACGCACACAGGCCTCGATGTGGTGATCGTAGTCATGACGATCTTCTTCAATGCGGTGCAATGCATCTTCGTACTGGTTCTTGCGGTGAGCAACGAACCCGGAATCCTCAGATGCCCAAGTAGGATGCGAAGCCCAATCATCGTTGAGAACACTACTGCAAAGCGGGTCACGGCCAGAGCAGGGCTTTTGGCGTTCACGCTTGGGAAGCAGACGGTAACTCGGTCCCAGAGACCGACAGTGAGCCAAGTTGACAACGCCTGATTCAGTGTTCGGCTTGGGGTCGATGGTCTTGTCCTCTGGCTCTTCAGCACTCATGAAACGCCTGAACCAACTCATGAGCTCAGCATTAGAACCAATGTAACCCTCGGCCCTCTTTACCAGGACGTGCCGGTCAAGAAGATCGGTGGTGTAAAGGTTGCAGAGTTTCAAAAAGTCACTAAAGACGACTTTGTTGGCGATGAACTTCTTCACGCGATCGAAGAAAGCGATCTCTTCTTGGCTTGGGGTCATCGACACTGAAGGAGGAATAGGTTCGGGGAGAGCAGGAATCAAGGTGGGGGAGACGTTTGCCATGTCAGAAATAGAGGGTTTGCCATGGTGGTATTTCGTTCTCTGTGATAAAGTTAGTGCTGAGGACGAAAAATAATGAAAGAGATCCCAAGTATGTAAAACTTACCTTGCTGACATTGCCATACTGCCCATTTTGGCCAACTCTGCCTGACTCTGACATGCGAGCAGCTTCAGCACCGGCAGGTCCAGAGATCGAAGAGCCCACTCCACCTCCTGGCCCACCGCGTCGCTTTTTGTTCTCCTTGGGGTCCTTGACATTGAATTGACCGAGAGGAGGCATCTTCACGTCGCGATTGGGAGTCTGGGAGGTAAAGCCAGCAGGTTCACCTCGAAGGTTGCTGAGAGGAGCTTGCTCTTCGGCCTGGCGCTGTGCCGCAACTTGTTTGGCATGCGCGGCAGATTCGGGTAGGAATTGCTTAAAGTCCTCCAAGAGATCAGGAGCAGTGTTGAACAACTGAGTGACCTGTCCGTAGACATCCTGAATGGGCTTTGACTCCCGCTGATATGTCTGGAGTATTTCAAGGAACTGCTTATAGATCTCAGGTGCGCTGGAGAAGCGGTTCTTTATCTTGTTGACATAGCTAATAGCATGGTTGAACTCAACGGGGCCACGCTTGTTCAAATCTTGAGCACCCTGAAGCATGCCAGTTCCGACACCTGCCAGGCTATTCATGGGCTGAGTCAGGCTGTTGTTCTGACCAGCAGCTGAGACTCCCAGGAGAGAAGATCTACCAAGACCAGCAGATGCTGCCGAAGCAGCGCCCTGAAGCTGAGCCACACCGCGGTGATCTTGCTGGTGGGACATGACTGAAGCAGCTTGTTGCTCCTGCTGGGTCGGGTAGCCGTAGTGATGGTCCTGAGCTGGGCCCTGTCCATCCGGATACATGCTCGGGCCCATCATTCTTGAGCCGGGAGAGTAAGACCCAGGGACACCCTGATCTTGCTGTGTCTGCTGCCAACCGGGACGTGACTGGTCACGGTAGAAGTCAGACTGACCATGCACGTCACTGGTAGGCCGGGGGTTGGTGGTAGTCTCAAAGGGACGTCCAGCGCGAGGCATGCTGAGAGTGTTTGTGCCGGATGGAGTGGTCACGCGAATAGCATCAGGGTTATCCTCGGTACCGCACTCGATACGGTATCCCGGAGGCAAGAAAGTGTTGAATCCTTGAATAAGAGCAGGGTGACCATTGAACAAGGTGGAAACCCGCTGAATCACCCCTGGCGTGTCAATAGCCTGACTCTTAAAGTCTTTCATGATGTCCAAGAAACGGTTGTAGACATCTGGCTGGTCGACGAAGCGAACCTTCACCTGATCCAGATAACTGAGAGCGTCATTCAGGATTGGTTGCTGGCCCTGCGCAAGAGCTGCAACATTTCCAGGTATTTGCTGTCCAGAAGTATTGTATCCCATCATAGGCTGTCCTGGGGGCCCACCAGGGTGCTGCATGTACGACCGAGGTGTGCCTTCACCGTGCTGCATTTGCGGACCAAACAAGCCAGCAGCAGACTGGGGTCCGCCCTGGTGGCCACCCTGTGGTGTTCCACCGAGAGTCGAAAGGAGACCTCCCGGGCCATGGATAGAGTTGGGAACTTTGTTGGCCACAGGCTGGTGGAGAGGAATCGAGCCAGTGTGGCTCTGGACGGGGTGATGCGATTGGTCGCGGCGATCTAGCTGCCGTTCAAGTTGTTCACGGTGCTCGCGATCACGTTCGCGTTCGCGCTGTTCACGGTGGGCCATCTCTTCCTGGCGCTGGCGCTCGATAATCTCCCGCTCTCGTGAATCGCGCTCGCGCTCACGTTCACGGTTGAGCTGAGGGGATGCATGTTGCATGGCCTGGCCGATTCCAGGGAGAGAATGACCGGTACCGTGAGAAGGACCGGCGGGGTGCTGTCCGTAGGCTGGGGACTGGTGCGGACCTCCGTGGGTCTGGCTGAGTTCTGCCAGACCAGGAAGAGAGTGACCGCCAGACTGACCGGGGTGGTAGGGACCTGTAGGAGCGCAAAAGTTAGCTTATAAGCTTCTCAACATTGCTCTAATCCTCGAGGGAGTTATGGAAAAGCAGGTAGGGTGCAGGTAGGCTAACCAGCTGGGGGAGGGAGAACAGGGCCGGAGGGTTGCGACGCCGGACCTTGTTGAGACGGGTTCTGACTATTGGACCAAAGCCATCGATTAGTCTCTGATCAACACTTGCAATACAGGCCAATGCATACCTGAACGACCCCAGGGGCCGAGGCTGTTGATTCATCTGGTCCATGCCAGGATGCGACGGTGGCCCACCAGAGGAGTGCCAGTTATCGTTTCCAGAATTCATGATCTATGCATGAACTCCAGTAGGAGGGAAGAGGTAGAACGCGGAGGGAGGGGAGGAAAGTAATCGAGAGCGGGAGCTGTCTCTAGTCGGCAACGCTCAGGTTGCTCTGGGGTCACAGCATGACCCGAAATCTCGAGAGTAGAAAGACGACAGGCTTGCAGAAGTGCAAGAAAGAACCGGAGCAGATAGGCAGGAGACACAAACTGGGGTGATGGAATTGCGCGCTACCGATCGCGGGCTCCAGTGGAGGCTTTCCTTGCGCTAACCTATTTAGGCCATTATCGGACAATGGATTCTCCGGAAGTCCCTGTATTGTCGTCTGCTGATTGGCTCACGGCATGAGTCCGCCTTCGTCATCGCCTCCAAATTCCGGCAGAAAAAAACATGACTCGTTGGCCTGAAGAGGTGAATCGCTAAAGCCTGAATAGGCTGATTAGGTTTGTTGTCTATTGTTCATCTTGGTGTTGATGATTTGAATGGACGTGTATAATATTTCCGGGTTGGGGGCTGGGAGAGGTGATGGACTTGTAAAGGGGCGGTCGTAGACTACGTGCGAGATAGACAAACACATAGGTAGTCCCAAGAGGACGCCTACTAGGAAGTATCGCTCAATTTTACGGAGCAGGAGAACTATGAAAAGCGCCTTCAACAGGCATGACATTCTCTATCATGAATAGGCCTGATACAACGCCTTCGACAACCTCGCTGCCTCTGTATGAGGCAGACAAGGGAAAGCAAGGCAGAAACAGAAACTAGGATCTCCTCGGAGGTAGAGACTCGAGGGAAATGGGAAGGGAACGTCCTCATGGCATGCTGCTATTATTATTTTCTGATTTTCGCCCTTCGTTTCTTGCCTGTTCAAGGCCATCAGCCACCCGATCCAAACCCCAGATGCGCCTGTCCATGAAAAATGATAATGGCATTTCGATTAGAGAGCGGAGAAGACAAAGAGCTGCAGATGTTAATACATGCCTAGTTCGCTAGTTCGGAAGAAGAGAAACTCACATTGTTCGTCGCCGCAATGGCAATGCTGTCCTCGAATGGGTGCCAGCTCATGTGCAAGATCTTCTTGTTGAAGTCGATCTGGTCGGCATCGGTCTCCTTCTTCATCCGACTGCCGGGGCCAGCAGGGCTTCCGGACCGCGACCCGGCCTTCTTTCCGTTACCCTTGTTCATAGGCGTCGGCACACCAACCTTCTTTGCCTTGAATGCCGACTTGTCCGCCTGTAGCACAATCTCCGTATCCTTCTGTTCTTCTGTGGGGTAAATCATGAAATTGTTGTTGTAGCTTCCGGTCATGACGTTATCGGCATCACCAGAGAAGACCACCTCAAACTTGTCAAAGATGCTGTCGTTCTCGTAGGTGTCGCAGAGGCGGGGGCGGAGGTGCTCGTGGATGGGGATAGTCTTGACTGGCTGTCGCTCCATGTTCACGTCCCAAATCTTCACCGTCAAGTAGTCCCTGGACACAATGTATCGGCCATCGTTGGAGAATCGCACATCGGAGATGGAGGAGATGATCTCGGAGAAGAAAGAACGGGAGGAAGCATCTTCTTCTTGTTCGAACACTAAGCGGTGTTAGTAAATGAAACCCATAGAATAGCTGGATACATACATTTGGCGTGCTCATCACACAAGGCCCGTTGCCGCATATCGGCAAGCTTGATGGTACCCTTAGAGCTGGCGTACATGAACCAGTTACAGCTGACCGGGTGGAATTCGGCCGCTGTGATTACCTCGGTGAGTTCCTCCATGTTCGCCGGCTTGATATCCACAATGTTGAAGCTCTGGTCCTGAATGTTGAGGTTCCACAAGTTCACTCGGAGGTCATCACTGCTGATAAAGGTTTCGCCATCACTGTTAACGGAGATGCTATTTATATGATACGCGTGGGCATTGGCGTATGTTCTCCGTGGAACAGCAGCAACCACGGTATCATGGTGTGTCAAACGAGGCAACTTCAGAGCTGCGGGATCCTTGAAGGAGACGCGGGGTGCACGAGGCATACCACCGCCCCCGACCGCGCTCGCCGGAGTGAGCTCATTTGATAGGTTGTTCTCTGCAACCACCTTCAGCGACTTGTCAAAGACCTTCCAAAGCTTTATCGTCTTGTCGTTTGTCGAAAGGAGGAAGTGGGATGCATTCTGTCGTCGGCACCATTTAATCTTGTTGATCTTCTCTTCGATCTCTAGCGATTTGAGATAATCAAACTCCGGCTCGTGTGACTGAAACTCGGTGTGGAACTTATATTCACAGGTTTTTTTCTGCATGAATGGTCAATAACGAAGCTGTCGAGTGCTGCCGGGAGTACTACCGTCTCGTTTCGCTCGAATAGCACCACACGTCCACCCTTGTCACCAGTGGCAAGATAGTTACCGGTGTGGTCAAATTCAACAGTCGAGATGATGTCCGCTGGCGTGCACATGTCAGTTGATGCACTTGGTGTAGATTGGCCGGCCGAGTGCGAGGGAAGCTGGTAGTTACCTTCTGTAATATCTTCTACATCGCCTTTATCGCCGAAGCATCTAACAGGGTCAGCTGCAGAACAGGTCAAACATTTACACGGCACTCACTGTGTGAACTTCCAGGTGGGTGTGCCTGGATCTCTGTCTACCATTTTCTCGTTCTAGCCCTTGACCGCGACGAGGGCAAGGACAGGAAAAATAGAGTTGGCAAATGCTTCCGAAAGCTCTATCGGGGCAGAAAATCACTCGGGCCGTGCGCGGAATCCGAGAGGAAAGAATGTCCGATAGGATTCGGAGAGAGAGTGTGGCGGTAAGGTGAAAGAGGGGCAGAGGGGATCGCGAAAGTGGAAGTCGACGGCCGAATGAGTCGACGAAGCTGATGGGCCGGTAAGGTGGGGACCGCAAAGCTAGGGGAAAAGATTCTGTTGGAGGGAGAGGCGGATGATTAGAATAAATGCATGTAACAAACGGAAGACACAAGGGATGGGGGATGTGTACAAGACTGATGAAAGAGGATGAAAAGAGTTGAGGTGAGGAGAGTTGAGGCGGTGGTGGGGAGAGTTCGATACGCCCAGTTCTGCCCACCATCAATATGACTACGCAGATCAGATCACAGAGAGAGCTGGAGGTTGATAGTCTGAGATAGTGAACTATCTCTACCTCTATGTTCAGGCTACGACCTTACTTCCTAGGTACCTACCTAGACCTCCACAATGCTGACATCAACACTTAGCGACTGTAACATTGCGCCCCTCTGCCCTACAAAACCCCGTATCCCACTCTCGACACGAATACCAATTGAATAGACATGTGTTCTTTGTGAATGATTGTGTGTTTCTAGTTTCTATTCAAATCATCTAAGTCATTTATAGAGTCTGAAGTTTGTAATGCATGGCATCACCGCCTCTGTCGTCATCTTTGACGCCTAAGCAGACCCCCACGCTTAGCATTGCGGGACAAATATAAGAGGTAGTCTGAGCTGTTTTTAAAGCTGCAGTGATTTAAGAGCTACTCTAGAGCTTTATTGTTCTAGTGTTTCACTTGTCGGTGAGCTTATTCGCAACGTCGTGGAGGTTCTCAAATATATATCCATATCCGCCTCAGACACAATCTCAGATCTCTAAACGTCCTTTGTCACAGATCACACAAATAAAAAGCAAAAACAAAACTAAAATGTGATATCATCCAGCTACTCCTAGAATGTTTCTAGCCTAGGTAATCCTTCACATGCTGATATCCGGCTACCCATCGACCCATCGACCCGAGCAACCCGACAATACCCTTTCCTGGGCAACAATGGCACTCGTACCTTACTCTCTCCCAAACCTAAGAGCTACCCCTATACACCCTCTACACCCCTCCAATCCACCTATCAAGCCACCATGACCGAGCCGAACACGCGGGGCACGGCCAAGGACAACGGGACCGGCAACGGCAGCAGCAGCGGCCCCGAGACCAACGCCACGACCAACAATGAAAAGAGCAATAGCTCCAACCAACCGTCCTCCTTAGCATCCCGCATCCAATCCTCTGCAACAAAGCTAGCAAAAAGCGCCTTCCAACCGCCCACCTCGGCCGAGCTCTCCCAATCCCTAGCAGCAAGTACAGGCAACAAGGCCGGACAATCCTCCCTACAATCCACTGCCAATACACACACTGCAAGCGCGAGTCGGGCTGTCTCAACACCAGGATCAGGATCAGCATCAGCACCAGGAACTACAGGAACACAAGCATCGACCTTCAGAAATGAACTCCCCCAACAAGGCGGGGTCGAGCTCCCTCCATTAACAGAAGCCGAGTTCCAATATGGCCAGGAACTAGGACTGGGACTAGGATTGGACCAAGAACAAGGACAAGAGACAGACCTCCAATCAACAACCGGCCCCTGGAAAGGAAAACAACGAGCGCAAGACCCAGCCCAAACCCAATATGAAACAGCCTGGCAACGCAACCCCCCAACCCCAATCCAAACAACCACCCAACAACCAACAACCTACAACCCCGAACCAACGGACGGCTCAGCCGTTCTATCCCTCCTCTCTGACCCATCCTTCGATCCAAACATGGACACAGACCCAGCAACCCTACCCGAAACACATCCCTCGCTAGACCGATATGCCGCGCCGGCCCCTTTGTCTCGGGGTGAGATTGAGGCTATTGAGTCGTTTCGGAGGGGAGTTGGGGGTGTTATGCGCGAGGACTTGGATCGTCAACAGCAAAAGCAGAACCGGATGGGAGAGGGAGAGGGTGGGAATGGGGGCATATCGGGTTCGAGTCTAATACCCGACATCGATACCTTCCTCATGGAGAATGAATATGGATCTGGAGTTAGAGCTGGATCTGGATCGTCCCTCCGCGACACAATCGCAACATACCTCCCTGGCGCTATTGACTGGATGGACGTACAGGAGAGGTATGTTGATGATGTATGGGGGTATCTGGAGCCTGTACTCGAAGCGGCGAGGGAAGAGATTGAGGATGGGAATAAGCGTGAAGGCACTGGGCATGAGGATGGGGATGGACCGGCTGTTAGGCGATTGAAGATGATTTTGGTGCATATGAAGGGGTAGTCTACGTCTTGTTGTAGGAATAGGTAGGAATAGGTAGGGGGTCGTTGTATAATTGTATAGAGGTGTGTGTAGATAGCTAACTACAGTACATGTAGGTGTTCATTTGAAATAAATTATGCCCCATTGTACGGAGTAACTAACTAATCATCTTTTTTTGTGTACATGTAAGTTGTCTATGCTGGCCAGTCGGAGATTAGACTGGTTCCTCCGGTAGTTTGCATGCATCAGCCGATTTGTGAGTCTGAGCCGAGGTCTCGGTGATTTGATTTGTCCCGACTTCCCCTGAGAAGATATTGTATGCAAGTGTCCTAGTCATATACTGAAATACTAGAACAAACAGGTGTGGCAATACAACAGTGCAACCAGGGCTATAGGATCCACAGCCATAGACCAAGTACACCAACTACAAGTGAACAAGTAACGTAATACAACGAATGATCATACTCTAGAAAGATATATTCCAGATAAAATAAGAAGAAGATGTTATGTATGATACACAAAGAAACCAAAAGCACAACTTCCAATAGGAAACGGCCAGATTCCCAGATTCAATCATGAAAGCATAAGCAAAATAGAGACGAAGACGGGGTATGTAGGACACGCTGAAGTTCTTATTTCGTTGAGGGAGGAGGAAGACCTCAAGAGAGATGGAGAGAGGAAGGGGAGGAGGAGAGACGTGAGAGGTAGGAGGATGCTCATATCTCTTAACCACACTCACAGCTCCAGGCTGGGGGTCTGGCCCTTGACACGGCCGATCACGATGTGGCCGGCGTACTTGGGGATAACCTCGTCATCGTGTAGCATGGCGAATTCTAGAAAGGGAACCAGTTAGTAAATGAGTTCATATAATACGGAGATAGCGATAACATACCCTCGGTAGCATCCCGACCCATGAAGTTGAACAGGGCGTTGGCACCACCGGGGTGCTCGTCGAGCCAGTTGGTGACATCGAGGACAACACCCTTGACAACGATCCAGAGATCCTCCTTAGTGTTGTGCTTAGCGACTTCCTCCATGGTATACTCGGTCTCGGGAATTTTGAAGTTGGCCGGGTCAGGCTTGGCAGCCTGCTCCTGAGGAGCGGCGGCAGCAGGGGCGCTGGCAGGGGCGGCAGCGAGAGGGGGGAGGTCGCCACCAGCAGCGGCGCCCCACTCGACAGAGACCTTTCCGGGGGTGTTAGGGTCGATGTGGAGGGAGATCTGGCCGAGACGGCTAGAAGCGGATCCACCGGTAGTGATGAGCTTCTGGAAAAGGTGCTGGCAAGCGGAGTCACCGGCGACACGGCCGTAGACAACACAGCCGAGGAGGGAGGAACCGCCCAGACGGTTGGCACCGTGGACACCGCCGGCCAGCTCACCGCAGGCGTAAAGGCCTTCGAAGGGCTTCTGCTCGCCGTTGAGGACCTGGGCGTGCTCGTTGATCTCGATACCACCCATGGTGAAGTGGAGGACGGGCTCCATGAGAGCGACGTGGAACTCGTCGTCGAGGGTGAAAGGTCCGTTGTGGAAGAAACGCTTGTTCCAGGGGTCCTTCTGCTTGCCGTCGGCGATGAGGTTGTAATCGTCGAAGGTCTTCTTGAGGGCAGCTTCTCCGCAGCCGATCTCCTCGACGAGCTGCTTGCCGGTCATCTTCTTCATCAGACCACGGCCGGAGTAGTGACGAGTGTGGAAGTCCAGGACATTGGAGGCCTTGGAGTTGAGGATGAGGCGGATGGGCCACTTGCCCTTCTCCTTCTCCTTCCACATCTGACCGGAGACGTAGTCACGGTGACCGAGCTCGTCGGAGAACCGCTGGCCATCGGAGTTCAGGAGAAGACCACCCTCACCACGGAGGGCCTCGGCAGCCAGGAACTTGAACTTGGCCTGGGGGTCCTTGGGGTCCACAAGACCGGTAGGGTGGACCTGGACCTTGTCCATGTCGATACCGTTGGCACCGATGGCCATCAGCATCTTCTGACCGTCACCAGTGGCGTGAGTGCCGTTGGTGGAGGACAGACCGAAGGTATCGGGGCGGTGCTTCTTGAGCAGGGAAGTGTCACCAAAGTCAGCGGCGTAGCCACCGGTAGCAAGGACGACGACACCATCGACGGACTTTTCTTCGCCGTTGATAGTGTAGGTAACACCGGTGACGTTGTTACCGGACTTGTTAACGGAAGTCACGTTGGCCTTCTTGATAATCTGAACACGGCCGGGCTCCTTGTCGGCAAGTTCTTCCAGGCGCTGCATGAGAGCATAGGTGATGGCCATACCGGGGAACTTGGCATCGTGACCACGGTGTGTCCGGGGTTGAGAGTGACCACCGAGACGGGAGACGAGGGTGAGATCGAGGTTGAAAACATCCTGCAGCCACTCAACAGCGGCAGCTGACTTGTAGGTCAGGACCTTGATCAGGTCAGGACGGGCCTTGTCTCGGGCCGACTTGAGGGTATCTTCGTAGAAGGTCTTGACGCTATCTTGGATGCCGAGGTCGACCTGGGTGCGGGTGAGGGCACCGTTGATACCGGAGGTGGCCTTGGTAGAGTTACCACCGAAAAAAGCCTGCTTGTCCAGAACGACGACGTTACCGCCGTTGAGGTAGACGGTGTGGGCGGCACTGAGACCGGACACTAGGATGGTCAGCTGAGTCTGGGGAATGCAGGAAGGGAGAGCTTACGTCCACCGCCAACCACAATTACTTGAGGAGCCATGATGTGTGTAGAGGAATAGGTGAAGATGAGAGAAAGAGAAGACCGAGGGAATGCGAGACTTAAAGTAAGAGGGGAAATCAGAAGCCGACAAGTATCGGCCGAGGCAGTGGGGAAAGTGGAAAGTTGGGGTACCCGCTTTATTAATTACGACGAGCTGGTTTGTAGTTGAGTCTGGGGAAGCATTCCATTCACTTTCACATGTTCACATGCTATAAGTGACATTTATATAAGTTATTAAACTAGGATATATGCACAGTGACATGGGCTCATCTTCACATGTTCATTCCTGCTACGAGTGCCATAAGGAGAACCATTGGTCCACGGGGGAACAGACCCCGGTCAGTTTATCCCTCGGTGTATTCATTCCACGCCCCGAACAACAGTTACCGATCCCCTATTTCCACAGACCCTAGACATGCAGCTGGACCTCGGAATACATCTTACGTTCCGAAATTTCCGACTCGGACCGCATAACATGACCTGAATTTTAACCAAAAATACATATTATGATAAGCAGAGAAGTGTATATAACAGCAAATATATCAGTATCTCCCCCATATCCCATCTCCATACTCCATCTCCCAGAAAGAACCGAAAAAGAGATTTGTTACAGCCGCCCCCTGATTGGCCGAACGTGACCAAATCCGGGGATGGGAATTGCCCGAGTGGGCCAATGATGTCACCGAGTTCCCTTCAATAACCGACGGAATTCATACTCAGATCTATATACCTGAGCCCTCAAAGAAAACATGGTATAGCTTCATCGTCAATTATCCCCTGCTGTTCCTTCTCATTTATATTCGATTTTGTTGGTCTGCCCGAATATCTGCTCCACACTACTGCTCGGGTTAATACACACCGAGATAGTGCGGATTCCGAAAGACTGTGTGTTTCTCGTCCGAGAACTGTGGACTGTGTATGGGTGTACGTGTGTGGATTATGCGGAGGAAGGAGAGTTGGGGACAGAATGGAGGGGCTGGGAGCTAATTCATAGCAGCTATACAGCTAACAACCACCAACCACCATCCACGGCAAGCCGAACCACGCTGACCGATGCAATTTATACACTAATCCATCCAGGTAACACTCTTCGTAACCAAAAACTCATTCAATCCCTCATCAGTATTGAACCGTCCCCAACCACTATTCTTCACACCGCCATGAGGAAGAGCCGGCTCATCATGGATAGTCATACTATTAATATGAACAGCCCTAACCAACAGTCAGCAACCATACCATCCATACAATCCTAATGGAATACATACCCCGATTGAATCTTCTTCGCCATAGCCAACCCCCGCCTCAAATCCTCCGTAAACACCGACGCAGACAATCCATACCCACTCCCATTCGCCAACCGGATCGCCTCATCTTCACTGTCAAAAGGCATGCACGCCGCGACAGATGCGAAGGATTCTTCTTGCCAGAGGGCCATGTCTTCCTTCACCCCGCCCAGGACGGCGGGTGCCATGCGCACTCCGGAGTCGGATGTGGTGGGGATAGGTGTGGCCGAGCCGGAGATGAAGTGGGCGCCTGCAGCGACGGCGCTGGAGATTAGGGCTTCGACGCGGGTTTTGGAGGCTGTGTTTACGAGGGTTGGAGGTTGGGTTGAGGTTGCGGCGCCTGCTGCTAGGGCCTTTTGGAGGGCTTCTGTGAAGGCTGTGAGGATGGAGGTGTGGACTAGGATTCGGTCTGTGGCCATGCAGATTTGGCCGGACTAAGTGGGAGAAAGGGGATATAAGTCAGCCATGGTTGTCCTCCATATTATTCATCATCCTCTTCTTCTTTTGATAGGTACCACTTGATAGGTAGGTGTGGAACTCACATTCAAGAAAGCACCCGCCAAAACACCCTGCACAGCAACCCCCAAGTCGGCATCGGCACAAACAATAGAACTATTCTTCCCGCCCAGCTCCATAAGACACGGTTTAAGATTTTGCCCGCAAGCACGCGCAATCTTCCGACCAACAGCCGTACTACCAGTGAAATTGATCTTGCGCACTGCCTCGTGCTCAATCATGGCATTGACAACCTCAGGTGCATCCTGCGGCGCACAATGAATGACATTCAGACAGCCGGCGGGTAGACCAGCGTCTACGAATGCCTGACCAATAGCATAGTAGCAGCGCGGGGTGAGTTCAGAGGATTTGAGGATGGTGGTGTTACCCGCTGCGAGGGCACATGCTGCGGAGCGGATGCCGAAGACATAAGGAGCATTCCTGCATGAATCAGTATGAGACTTGAGTCTTTGAATACTGTAGTATAGCATAGTATACTAGTACTATACTATAATGTATGTAACAAGGTGAACATATACATACCACGGCACAATCCCCAAAATAACACCCATAGCCTCCTTATAAACAATAGCACTCTGCCCCTCCATCTCAACAACAGGGACACTACCACAAATACTAGTAATACGACTAGCGACTTCGCGCAGCATGCGGATAGCCAATGGAACGACGAAACCCTGTGAAGCGCCTACATCGGCGCCCATCTCGGTGCGCATGTATTCGGCGCATGTCTCCAGTCGGGCTTCGAGGATGTCAGCTGTTTTGAGGAGGATGTCGCGTCTCACGGTGGGCTTTGTTTGCGACCAGGATGGGAACGCGGTGTTGGCGGCTTCGACGGCGCGGATTGCATCTTCGGGTGTTGCTGCTGCGGCAGTCCAGCAGGGTTTGTTAGTGTAGGGGCTTATTACTTCGAAGGTTTTGGTGGGAGATTCCGAGGTGTTGTTTATTAGAAGGGGGATTGTTGGGAGGGTCATGGTGGGGAATGGGAGAGGAGTACGGAGGGTAGGAATGTAAATGTGAATGTGAATATGTACAGGGAAGAACAGGATAGAGAAGGAAGTGGGATTGGAGTTGGAGTGGGAGTGAGACTTGGAGGGGAATGAGGGGAACTCGGCGCCGAGTGTACTGTATGGAGTACTCGGCATACCTCAAAGGATTGAGATATCCGTTGATCATTACTGTGATAACTTATGCTTATGGACACACTATACTCGCACTATCTACGCTTAACCCACTAGCTTTATTCCTTACCCGTCTCTTGTCTTGGCTGCAAGGTCCTGTCTTCATAAAGAACCGACTTACAAGTCTACTACGGTACATCCCAATATCAAGATGTAACCTCATTCCTGCAGAAAGGGTAAAACTTAATAAGCGGGTCAAATCGCGTGGCGTCAGGGGATCGAGGAAAAAAAGCCACCAGCTGAAGAATGGTTCAAATAGACCCACAGCCGCGTACAGCTCACATTAGGGCAAGAGTCCTACGGAAGGTCCACTGTGCGCCGGTGGGATTACACAACTGCCGGGTTCCTCCCGATGAAACTCTACTGTATTCACATGCTGTGAAGCTTGCGTGATCTTATATTTCAGAGTCAGATAATAGCCCGACAATAGTGTCGAAAATCAAGGAGAGTTAAAAAAGAGGGTCGGTCGAGTAAGCTACAACTAGAGCGTTACATTCTCCTATCTATAGTATGAAGTTTTGACATGACGCACATCTTTCAGACTGCACATGCAAAACCCGAGTTGGGTTCGATTTGCATACATGTACTTGATCACTAGTGGGAACTTGATCAATCCACAGGTATGTTTGAGATTGAGACAATCGATCGGCGCAGTTTGCTAAGTTGCTGTGCTCGATCCTATCTTGCACTCCATTCAAAACCGACTTACACGACTATTTCAAAAATGAGGCAGTGGACACGGATGTATAAAACCCGACGCTATTGACAGATCTGCACGTCACTTTGAACTCTGCCTGTGACCCGCTGTGAACCATGGAAAGCCGTGGGGGTCTCCAAGCGAGTGTAACAAATATAGATATAAATCCATGTATGTGTGTAGAGATATAATGTTAGTTGTTAAATCATAGTTCTAGCTACATGTGCTCCTGTATGATTCTGACACAATGGACAGGATGAATAGGCGCGGGAACACTAATGCATGATTCAATCACACTATCAGATGGCGATCGCAGGGCCGTCTTTCCCGACTGGGCGCCTCCGAATCCCCACCGTGGAGCCAATACTCTAGGGAGGGGAGGGCCCATCTTGGCTGAGAAGGGAAAGTGAGTGCGTTGATGGATTGTTAATGACACATTCTTCGCTCTGATGGACAAAACTATTGGACAGTGAACCAGAAATCCGTGAATTGCATATCAACCACGCTTCCAAGGTTCTCTGATGTCCTCCACTCCCCACATCCGCCATGCGAGCTGTATATCCCGTTTGCGCAAATCCCGTGCCGTATCGGGCCATTTGATCGCCCACTAGGAGGTGTGAGTGGATTCTGGGAACTTGCGAGGCTTGAACGCGCTGATCCGGATCTCGCGTTATTTTATATCGAAGTCTTCACCGATCCTTGCTCCCCAGGAGTCTTCATTCTTTTACTCCCGTTGCTTTTTTACCCCACCTTCTTTTGATCTTTGCTTGAGATATTTGACCATGGCGCCGAGCAACAGAGGCTGGGCGATGATTGAGATCGTCTCGGTCTTGGTTGGTCTATGTTTGGTTTCGACTGTGTTGCGAGTCTTTGCTCGATTGAGGAGGAGAGTTGGTTTTGGCATTGATGATTACCTTAGTATGGGGTCAATGGTGCTGATGATTGGAATGTTGGTCGAGTTGATTCTTTGTTCGTCTCTCATGGCCTCAGCTTTATACATACACTAACAACTGCTAGGGTGTGCAATTGGAGGCAATGGAACCCACGTCACAGAACTGAGCCCCAAGACCCTCACGAACTACTGGAAGGTAAGTTCACTATATCAAACACCAATCCCAACCAACAATCCTAACCCACCCAGATCTTCCTCGCCAACCAATTCAACTACTTCCTCCTCTGCCCAGCCATTAAAATAAGCATAATCTGCTTCTACCGCCGAGTCTTCACGACCCCCAAGTTCCAAACGGCAACCTTTGCCCTAAACACCCTCATAGCAGCCTGGGGCACGGGGATCTTCCTCGCATGCGCAGGCCAATGTCGACCGCT